GTGTGGTGCGAGTGTGTGGCTGACAGCTGCAGTACAAAAATGTAAATTAGGCACTGGTTGAAATTAACCATTGGGTTTTGCATATGTAGTATTGTGTAATTTATTGTAGTCTATTTGAGTAACCTTGCTATGTTATTGTTTTATGTGCTTTTCAATTTTTGCTTAGTACATCGTAGCAATAGATCTTCTGCTTCACTATAAAGAGAAAATTGCTTAAGATGTGTTTTTCCTACTCTAACCAAACTCATGGTTCTTTTGGCTTGGCTTGTTTGTACAGAATAAACTTAGACCAACATTTTATTTGTCGTTTGTTTATGAAAAGCCTACTGTAAGGTCTTCAGAGAGATGACTGTAATTACATTGTAACTGTATGTATACCAATTCAGTTATTCACATTTAAAAAGCAGTTTTATGAACCTTGCAGAATATTGCTCCCTCTCCAAGTGGTTTGGACCCCTTGTCAAGCTAAACCCAGGGGTCTTTCTGTACTGAAAGGACACGATGGACCTCAAGCTTTGCGATTTGAGTTCTTTGAACCTATAAAATTGTTTACTGGTAATCTAAATGAGATGGCTATTAAAAGATTTTTGGAACTAAAGATGAGTCTTGTCCGAATCTGGGATTTGAACACAATTTATAGGGAAAAAGCAGGTATAATGACAACTTATAAATCGTATATGTCAAGAAAGGTAGTCCTAAGCTGTATAATATCTAGGTCATGATTAGCCTTAGAGATGCAGTTACAGGGGAACTGTGCTGCATTTACACTGTTACACTGTTCCTGGAGTGTTTTTTAAAACCTTGGTAAGCCGCTAAAAAAATCATGTAAGATATTTGAAAATCTGGGGATAAAGAAGTGAGATCAACAGACCTCTGTAACTGGCTTCTCTTCTTCGCTTGAGGCTAGCAGCTGGATGCTGCATCAGCTGACACTATTTCAGCACACCTAACTCTCCAGCTGAAGTGTTTTCTGATGAGTTGCAAAAAAGATGTCTCCAGTTCAGTTATAATTTGGATTTTAAAGTCCAGTATTGTTAAATAGTTTGAATGTGATGCTGAATAAGTGGAATCTCGATTATTTCCAGTGAAGTAATTTAAAAGATGTGAGGTTAATTTAGGTTTAGATAAGGCTTGGGGTTAAAATTAGACTATCTATGTTGATTTGTTCTCTCTAAAGCATTACTAGGTCAGTAACTTATATATGCTATGTTGGTTATCTTTTCCGAGTGTAATAGATAATATAATGGATTGGCCTAGCATCTGGGTCTGAAAAGTGAAACCACCACAGATATATCTTAAAACTACAATCTTTCTAATAGCCAGTGGGGCCAATACTTGTCTGTGAAAACACTTCCAGCCCTATAGAGGTCTATGAGAAAACAGCCTTTAGCTTTGACATATGTAATAACTCCTACTGATTTTTTGGGTTCACTCACTTGTTTTGACTCTAATTGAATAAAACATTATTTCCATTTTGCTCCGTTTTGCATTCCAAGTGTCTGTTCAATTTAATTCAGTGTTATTTATATAGCGCCAAATCACAAAAACTGTTGTCTCAATGTGCTTTATATTGTAAAGGTGCTACAATACTAAAGAGAAAATCACAAAAATCAGACAATCCAATTATGAGCAAACACTTAGTGTTGGTGGGAAGGAAAAACTCCCTCTCAACAGGAAGAAATCTCTGGCAGATCCAGCCTCAGGGAGGGGCAGCCATCTGCTGTGAACGGTTGGGGGTGTGAGGCGACAGGACAAGAGAAACACTGTGGAAAAGAGCCACACATTAATGACTAATTAAAGGAGAAAGGAGAAATTCTTAGAAAGAAGAGATCCTCCGAAAGAAAAATCTCTCCATACACCACAGTGGAGACACAAACCATGCCACGGTGTCTAAGTCCATCTATGTCCAATCTATGAATCAGAATCAGATTGCCTTTTATTGTCATTGCAATATCTAATACAAGAAATTAAGGTGATATTTCTGCCAACAAAGACATTCACACAAAAAAACAGTTTTTACATAGTGAACCAAACCCTTTCAGGAGAAGACAATAAATATTTATGAATATGAATGAGTCCAATTGCCTCACAATAATAATGTTTAATTCAGAACAATGTTTACACATGGAGAAAAACTCATGTTGGACATGTAGGGTCTAAGCAGGTCAAACAGCAAGTGACCTGGTGGAAGGTTTCTTTAGTGATCCTGAAGGCTCTTGAGAGGTATCTCTCTCTTGCAGTCTCTTCCATAGAGGGGATACAGCCAGTGATCTTTTCTACTTTCTTTGGATAGCCTTTTTAATGTCCTGCACTGCGGGAGGCCTGGTGAGATTGTTGGAAATAAAGGTCCCAAAAAATTTAAAAACATGGACCCTCTCAATAGAGTCTCCACTGATGACCGAGTGAGCCTCTGCTCTTCGTGATGTCTATGATTTATTTTGTTTTCTTTTGCAAGATTGTTTGCTGAACACCACATGACCAGTTGATGGACCTCAGCCCTGTAGAGAGAGTCATCTGCCGCTCATATGAGTCCCACTAGTGTGGTGACATTAGCAAATTTAATAATGGTTTTAATGGGATGGACTGAGGTGCAGTGTTTGGTAGGAGAGGAAAGACTAAACTCAGCCAGCTTCTTGATCAGGCTCTATGGCGTGATGCTGTTAATGTTGAGTTATAGTCAACATAGAGCATCCTCACATTTTTTGATTCATTTGATGATTCAAGGCGGAGTGGAGAGCTGTCGCAATGGCATCCTCTGTGGATTTGTTCACTTTGTAAGCATAGTGATGTGGATCAAGAGTCAGTGGAAGACAGGCTTTGATGTGATTTGATACCAGCCCTTCAAAGCACTTCAGGATTGTAGATGTTAGGGCAACAGGTCTGCCTGTAGTCAGTGAGGGAGTCAGAAGCTTTCCTTGAGTCTGGATTGATGACAGATGACTTCAAGCAAGGTGGGATAATGATTTGTGCAAGGGTTAAAGATGTAGTGGTGAAAAATGCTGAGGTCTGGACTGGGACACGCCTTGAGCACTTTGTTGGGTACCTTGTCTGAGCTAGAAGCTTTTCTCAGCCTTCCTTGGGTTTACCAATCTAAACATGAGGTTCACATCACACTCCTGTACAGTGGTAGATGGAGGGCCCAAACTGGGTCTTTTAACCTCAAAGCCAGCAAAGCAGCTTACCTCCTCTACCAGGGAAGTGTTCATGTTGTTGAGTTTGAGATTGCTGTCCTTGTGATTAGTGATGTGTGTCCTGCCAAGCCTGCCTGAGTTTATTATCAGTAAAGTGGACCTCAATTTTCCTCTTACAGTCCTGTTTGGCCTGATTGATGCCACTTTTCAATCTTGTCTTCGAACGGACATGAGGGCTAGATCATTCAGTCCTCAAGGGAGACTGGACTTCCTTAGTTATCCAGGGTTTCTTGTCAGAAAAAAACGCTGATGTGCTTAATAACACAGGTGGAGATGCAGCACAGTTTGTGTATATTTCAAAAATTTCCCATTTAGTGTGTGCAAAGCAGTCCTGTAGCTCAGTGATAGAGCCCTCTGGGGAGGTTTTGATGATCATTATGTGTGGCTTTGTTTTTTCCTGAGGGCTGCGTGCTAGGGGAAGGAGTAATCAAAGATGGTCTGACAGACCCAACTGTGGAAGGGTCACAGTGCTGTATGCATCCCTGATGTTGGAATACACCCATGTGGCTTTGTGTATAGATCCACCTGGCAGCCCTGCTTCTGCCTTCCTCTCTTTATGGCACCTTCATTGCTTGGCAGACCCCAAAACAACCTATGGTGAGCCTGGAGGTCTTGTTATGTCCACTGGGATGTTGTGAACTCACCAGAGGTCCAACATGATAGCCACAGGACACAGTTTATAAACTCCTGACATCTATATAAGAGCATATCTTTACAGAGCATGAACAGCAATGCCAGAAATAACACAAAAGACACCACACTAGAGAGCCAAGAGCTATTGCACTAATACACAGAAGTTATCTTGAGTGTAACACATTGTGCACTGTATAAATGATCAGATCTACATCCATCATTTATATACAGATTATGATTGTATCTAGCGTTCGCTATCAAACACTATGGCAATGCAGCCAGTAGTCATCAGACACTGACTGATGAATTGGCACTTTTGTCCAGCATGTGGAGCGTTGAGAATACTAAAATTATCCAGATCTCATCTTTTCATCTTCTTTGCTTGGTACACACCTCTAGAAAAACCACCAACACATTCCTTACAGTCCTCATGTTTCCTTAGGTGTTCCTGCTACTGCTGCTGTTTTAGGCTTCATCTTTTAATCATGTTAAAACACACTGGCTGGTTTCATATCCCAAATACCCAGCTGAAAGAGTCTGAGATCACTAAAGATAATCAAACAAACATGGAGGGAAGCTTAGTCCATCCTTACTTCAGCATCTGGGAAAATAAATAATTTAACCCTCGCCACAGGAGGCCCTTGGCACTGAAGTCACTCCCGACTGAGCCTGACTTGTTTTTCTCCTCCAAGTGCTTGTTTGTTTGTTTGAGAGCTGTTTGTTTGGTTTTTTCATAAGATAACACGACACACATTATGACAACGGTGATAAGAGATTATGTAAATACTTTTACAGGGCACTTCTCCACTCCCTCTGTATAAACATGCATATTACCATGTTCAGTGTGTAAATACTGGCAAGTGTATCTATCCTAGGCAGTCAGTTATAAAAGTGTCATATCAATTACACTGTCTCATAGGCCTACATTGCATTATTTTAACATACCCTGCAGAGTAGGACCGATAATAATATAGCTACAATTTCCTATGTGATTATGCAAAATAGCCTTTATAACATTTGCACGTTAGTTGAACGCTTGGGCAGTAATATGTTTGTTTAAAATATCAGTTCATGCATTAACCAGAGGCTGTTACGCAGACTTATTAACTGCTACCGAATAATTTATCATATGATCTATGGTAACATC